CTACTTGATCATGGTGGATGATTTCTCTGATGTGTTCTTGTATTTGATTTGCCAGTATTTTGTTGAGTATTTTTGCATCAATGTTCATGAGGTATATTGGTCTGTAGTTCTCTTTTTTAGTTGTATCTGTGTGGCGTGGGTATCAGAGTGATTGTAGCCTCGTAAAAAGAGTTTGGCAATGTCCCTTTGCTTCTATTGTGTGGAATAATTTGAGGAGTATTGGTATTAGCACTTCTTTGAATTTCTGGTAGAATTCTGCAGTGAATCCATCTGGCCCCGGGCTTTTTTTTTGGTTGGGAGACTTTTGATGTCTGCTTCTATTTCCTTAGAGTTTATAGGTCTGTTTAAGTTGCTTATCTGTTCTTGATTCAATTTTGGTAAGTGATAACTGTCCAGAAAATTGTCCATTTCCTTTAAATTTTCAAAATTTGTGGAGTCCAGGTTTTCAAATTGTGACCTGAAGATTCTCTGGATTTCCTCAGTGTCCGTTGTTATGTCCCCCTTTTCATTTCTGATTTTGTTAATTTGCATGATCTCACTCTGCCTTTTGGTTATTTTGGATAACGGTTTGTCTATCTTGTTGATTTTCTCGAAGAACCAAGTCTTTGTTATATTAATTATTTGAATTGTTTTTTTTTTTTGTTTCGACTTTATTGATTTCTGCCCTAGTGTGATTATTTCCTGGCGTCTGCTCCTCTGGGGTTCAATTTCCATGAGTTGGTAGGTTTTTTGCACTTTGATTTGTTTTTGATTTCTAACTTTAAAGCATGGTGGTCTGATAAGACACAGGGGATTATTCCAATTTTTTTGTACCTGTTGAGGTTTGTTCTGTTGCCGAGAATGTGGTCGATTTTTGAGAAGGTTCCATGTGATGCTGAAAAGAAGGTATATTCTTTTGTGTTTGGATAGAAAGTTCTATAAATGTCTGTTAATCCCAATTGGGTCATAACTTCTATTAGTTCCTTTGTCTCTTTGTTAAGTTTCTGTCTGGTGGTCCTGTCCAGTGGTGAGAGTGGGGTGTTGAAGTCTCCCACTATAACTGGGTGAGGCCTTATTTGTGATTTGAGTTTTAATAATGTTTCTTTTACGAATGTTGGTGCCTTTGTATTTGGGGCATAGATGGTTAGAACTGAGACTTCTTCCTGATGGATTTTTCCTGTGATGAATATGAAATGACTTTCTTCATCTCTTTTGATTGATTTTAGTTTGAAGTCTATCTTGTTAGATACTAGGATGGCTACCCCAGCTCGTTTCTTGGGTCCATTTGATTGGAGTATCTTATCCCAGCCCTTTACTCTGAGGTAATGTCTGTCTTTGAATTTGAGGTGTGTTTCTTGTATGCAGCAGAAGGATGGATTCTGTCTTCGTATCCAATCTGTTGGCCTGTGTCTTTTTATAGGCGAGTTAAGACCATTAATATTGAGGGAAATTAAGTTCCATTCAGTGTTTATTCTTGTTTGTTTTTGGTTTGTTGTTGGTACTAGTATTGTATGTGGATTTACCCTGCCTTTTATTTTGTGTTTTTGTAGAGTGGGATTATCTATTGCCTATGTTTATGCGAGTGTAGTTAATTTCTTTAGGTTATATTAGCTGTAGTCCCAGCTAATTGGGAGGCTGAGACAGGAGGATCGCTTGAGTCCAGGAATTCTGGGCTGCAGTGTGCTATGCCGATCGGGTGTCCACACTAAGTTCGGCATCAATATGGTGACCTTCCGGGAGTGGGGGGCGGGAGGCACCAGGTTGCCTAAGGAGGGGTGAACAGGCCCAGGTTGGAAATGGAGCAGGTCAAAACTCCTGTGCTGATCAATAGGCAACTATTTTTCAAAAGAAGATATACAAATATATACTAAGTACAAGAAAATGTGTTCTATATCATTAGAGAACTTCAAATCAAGACTCCAGTGAAGCTATCATCAAGCTCATGCTACACACACCTCTGTCATAATACTCAGTTGTTTAAGTAAGAGTAATATATATTGGTGAAGACACAAATAAACTTAGACCATCATAGCTGGTAAGAATATAAAGTGGTTTATTTAACTGCTTTAAGGAACAGATTTTATATTTTCTCAAAATTTTAAACATACACTTAGTATATGACACGGTAATTCCACTGGTATGTGAATTACTCCCGAAGTGAAATGAAAGCATTAGCTCACGAGTTTTTGCATTAGCATCACAGCTAACTCTGGCAACAATCTAAATGTCTGCCAAGTGATGACTGAAAAAGCAGAATGAGATTGTTCTCTACAATAGAATTATATGTAACATGAGAAAGAATGAACTACTGATAAATGTGAAAACATGAATAAATTTCAGAAAGCTTTTGTTCAATGAAAAGAGTCAGATACAAAAGCACTGAATATTGTACCATCCCACTTAAATATATTCTCCACAGAGGGGAACTCACTATGCAGAAAGCTAATAAATTATTTAAACATTTAGCCCTCATAGTGTGTTGGTGGTAGGGTTTGAACCCAGCCCTTTGCATGTGGTACCTCACCAACATCCCTGTCTTTCTTTTTTTTTTGCATGCTATTTTTCAATGAACCCCCAACCCCCGGCTTGGCTTATTTTTCCCTCAATTCACCTAGTTTATCTTCTCCTGAAATGCTTTCTTTCTAAAAACATGAACTGAAGCTTCTCTCTTTGCTGTCTTTGGTCACAGTGTTTTCTTCAACTTGATTTTTTTTCAACTGTGTAAGGACTAAATCAGAAAGTGTGTGAATAATTTTGCATGTTATCTAGTACATAGTCTGCATTTAAAATAAAATAGTATCTATATTAAGGTTTCCCAGAGAAAAGAATCAAGAGGGAAGGGAGATTATGAGGGAGCACACAAAGAGAGCAAGAGAGAGTGAGAGTGAGCGAGAGAGATATTGAATCATTGGTTCATGTGATTGTAGGGGTCACTAAGGCAAAATCTATAGGAAAGGAGGAAGCCTGGATATTCAGATTAGAGTTGTTGTGGTGGTCCTGGGCCTGATGTTGTGGAAAATTTCTTGTCCTGCAGGTCCTACTGCCCTACTCAGCCCCAAATAAACCCACAGACACTGTATTAATTATTAAACTCTTTGCCAATAGCTACGACTTCTTATTGGCTAGCTCTGCCTTAACTATTAACCCATAACTACTAATCTATGTATTTCTACATGGTGTTGGCTTATCGGAGAATGCCCGGACGTGTATCTCCTTTGGCGGCTACATATTGTCTGTTTTTGGCGGGCTTCCTCTGCCTACCTTTCACAGAATTCTCTGTGTCTCCTTGCCCAGCCTATCTTCCTCCCTCTATTTGCCAGTGTTTTATTCATCAACCAATAAGAGAAACATATATATAGAAGAACATCCCCATCAGCCTGAAATCATTTGCCCAGAATACGAAGGCTGAAAACTCGAGACAATGTCTGTGTTGTATTCCAGAGGCAGAATGCCTTCTGAAAACCTCATTCTTTGCTTCGAAAGATTGGGTAAAGCTCATCCACATTAGGGAAGGTAATCTGCTTTACTAAATAAAACTCTGCCGATTGAAGCATTATCACATCTAAAAATACTTATACTATAACATCTAGACTGTTTGATCAACAACTGGGCACCATAGCTTAGCCAAGTTGACACATAAAATTAATCATCTCTTCCAATTTGATGTTCCTAACTCTCAGTCAGCCAGTTGCCAGGATTCGTAAAAGGATCTGGGGATCTGAGCTCAAGAGAGAACACATTCCATTGAAGTGGGTCTCTGAGGAGCTGGTTCAGTGGCTCTCAGGCTGCACATTGGAATCACCTGGGGGTCTTAAAATGATAGATGAATGGACCTGCCTGGAATCTTCTCAAGATGCCATCTTGGCCCCACTTAGAGTAGGATTCTGGCCTAGTTAATAAAGATGTGCCAGAATTCTAGTAGTTGGCATCTGATTATAGTATGCTTGACAAGCTACTAAGATAGTGTAGAATGATTGCCTTTTGGTTAATTATAGATTCTGTTTTTAATGAAATAGATGATTTCATTACTGTATTATGATTTTGTTTTGCCCCCATGTGTGTATGTGTGTGTGCATGCATATACACATGCACATGTACACCTACATATGTGTGTACATATGTGTGGAGGCCTGAGGACTACCCTGGGTATCATCATCAGAATGACATCTACTTCTTTTGACACAACGTCTCTCATTTGCCTGGATCTCACTACTTAGGCTAGACTTAATGGTCAGTGAGTCTCAGGCATTCTGGTCTCTGTCTTCCCGGCACTGGGATTACAAGTGTGTGTACCAGTGTGCCCTGCTTTTTATGTTGATATTGGGATTGAACTCAGGTTCTAGTGTTTGAAAGACAAGTGCTTTACTAATGAAGCTATCCACTCAAATCCTTCTATTTTCCTCTTCAATACTGCAAACTGTTATAAAAAAGAAAACTCAATCTTATATTATCATTGAAAATTTCTGAAAGTAATTTTGGTGTTTTTCTTCAAGTGCAGTTTCTCAGTAATTAGAATCATTACATGTATTTTGGGAAAACGAGTTATTAAAATGCACACAGATATATTTCAGTTGATGTTTACATGTAGAATTAATCTTTTGGGCAAAGACTGAAAAGTAGGATTGCTGGGTTGTATGGTAATTCTATTGAGAGTTTTTTGCTTCATCCATCCTGTTTTCCCCATAATGGTTTACTAATTTACATGTTCACTAGCAATACACAGATTCCTTTTCTCTAATATCCTTGCAAGCATTTGTTTTTTTTTAGTATTTTATTAATATGTATTAATTATGCACAATAGTGGGTTTCATGATAACATTTTCATATATGTATATAATGTGTTTTGATCATACTCATTCCATTACTATCATCTTTGTACTACCACTGACCATCCTTCTTTCTAACTAATTCTTTTCTCTCTCTCTCTCTCTCTCGTGTGTGTGTGTGTGTGTGTGTGTGTGTGTGTGTGTGTGTTATGTATGTCTCAGTAAACTTATTAGGATTGTGTACAGGAACATGAGTGAAAGGTTTCTTCAGGGTAGGGGGACATTCCAGTGAGTAAACCACTAGAGAAACTGTCTTTGCTTCCTCCAGCTGCCATTGATGACCTGGGCCTTTTGAGCCCCTCCCCATCTATGACAGGATGTTTATGGGCCCAATCTTCTGAAGATCCTTTGTGGATAAAGCTTCTGTGGATTCAAGGATGTAACAGCCATGTCATGTATAGAAAACAGCATCCCACAGCACTCCATTACTTAATCCGAAATGTACATCCCCTGCCCCTTTTCCTCTATTCTTCACTATTCCCTGAGCCTTGTAGGGATGCTACTGTGTTCTAGTTAGTAAGACTGACCATTCAACAGTTATCTATTCTCAGAAATTTGACTGGTGCTAAGTGTCTGCAGTACCCGCTGAAGATAGAAGCTTCTTTGACCAAAGCTGACAGCAGCATTAATCTGTGCGTACAAATATAGTTATTTAGAAAGCATTTTGATGGGTATATCATGTCCATTTAGTAAAACAACAGCAATAGCATCACCACTGGGGATTGTGACGTCCCTCATCCATGGGCTTTTGAGAGGCTTACAGTTCCAGGTATGACTTCTTTTCTGCACAGAGTTTACAGTTACAATCAGAAAATTGTTGGTTATTTCCATAATAAAATTTCCACTAGTGCACCTGTGGATGCAATTTTTTGGCATGTTAGTGCACAGGGGTTATGAAGGTATGGTAGGTCATTTTGGATTCAAGGGACAACACATTCACTCATCCTTATCATAAAGAGACTCGTAGTCTAGAACTGTAAACTGGATCTTTCTGAATCATATAACATATAAAGCATATGTGTGAGGTAAACAAATCAATGCCTTATCTCTGTTTTGTTTTCTCTGCTTTATTCTTTGGTATTATTTCATTATCTGTATGTGTTATCTTCTTGGTATTTGCCGGTCTGTTTCTAGGATGAAATCCATATGGATCAAATAAAAGTGATTTTAAAAATTGTTGTTGATTCACTGTTTGGGCCCATTTTATTGCTGGATCCAGTGTTTACCTTGGTTAATCAGTGGCCACCAGCCTCTGTCTGCTTTTCTGGTCGTAGGGGTTGTATTACCCTAGATGGAAACATGAGGGAAGACAGGCCTTGAGACTAATGGGTGCATTATGGAAGTTTGGCTTCGGCTTAAATTAGTGGGAAATGAGCTGGAAAAGAGAAGGAAATAGGAATAAATACTGAGTGGCTATTGATTGTAGCAATACTTTACATCTTTTATGTATCACAGCTTCTCAAAATCACTAGAGTGTACATTTAATAATCTAACCTATACTTCATCATAGGAATGTTCTGTAATGCTCTATAGAGTCACTTAATAAATGTACATGGAGTCTGAGAGGTACACGCACATCTGTCTGCTTCTGGATGCTTTATGTTGGTGCACCATGCTGCTCTTGGAGTACTGCAACCAGCGCTAGTAGAAAGATAATGCAAGACACATATACAGTTTAAAATTTCCAAATGATTGCATTTTACCTCTTAATTATCACACCAAAAAGTGGTGATATTAACTTTTTCCAGCTCTCTTATATTCTTAAATTTAATTAATTAGAAATATTTTTGAAAGTATCATGCATGTGTACAATGCACTGTGATTACATCCACCACCCCACTGCCCCTCTCATCCCCTTTCCACTCCTGAAGACACCTTTCTTCTTCCCAACGAGTCTCCACCCTCCAACCCCTCTTCCTTTGCCTTCATTTTCATAGCT